AGTCGAACTCAAACCCTATCTAGGATCGAGTCGCGAATAAGGCTAAGAGCCGTGTATTGCACCATGGCTGAGATCTCCGATATGCAAGCTTCCAAGGTCTTCAGAGCTAGGTACTCCAAGTATCTGAGGAAGAAGATGAGAGAACCAGAGACAATTAGACAGAAGTTGCAACAGTGGTTCTGCAGATACAAGGTTACTGCGAGTGATGGTAGCCAGCCAGGACAGGGCCGACTCGATCCAGTCAAGAACTATACCTTGTTTACTCAAGACACCAAGCCAGCTGTAGAGAACTGTGTTGATAAAGCCATTCACTTGGCTGATCCACTGCCTTTGGAAGACATGTATGACACAATCCTTCCATCACCCAACTCCAAGCACATCCTCCCAGAGTATCTGTCAATGAGAGGAGAATCGAAACTGGAAGCATTCCATGACAAGTTTGCCCATTTCGCCAATAGTGGCATGAGAAGAAGTCTAGCAGATGCCCTCAACCTTGCTGGAACTGCCAGATACAACCTCAACATTCGACACAAGAGAGCCTTCCTGTCAAGAATCAGCCTGGAAGAAAGGAGGTCAATTCCAGCTGGATGGGAAAAGGTTGTTCCATACTGGAACCATTCAGAATTGGCTTACCTCAATGAGCTAGCAGAGGCTGCTGGTGTGGATGCACCATTCCCAAATGCAGAACCATTGCCACAAGACAATGGAGAGAGATTCTTTTCAGAGTTCATTGTTGGATTCAAACCACAGAGACAAAAATATGCTCCAAATGATTGTTGTCTTTGTGCAGCTTGCACTGGAGCACCACCGAGTCCACCAGCAATCGAGACACCACCTACACCAGCAATCGGTCCACCACCTCCAACAGAACCACCAGCAATCCATCCACCACCCCCTCCAATAGAACCACCAGCAATCACTCCACCACAGCCACCTCCACCACCAACCCAAGCAGCTGTGGCACAAACAACAAACAATTACATGAGTAACATGCTTCAATTTCAACAACAACAGATTCATATGATGCAACTTGCCATGCAAATGAGGCAATTCCAACCAATACTGCCATCTCCTTTCCAGCAACCTCCTCCCCCGAATGCCTGCTGTCACAGATACTGCCAGTGGTTGACTAACAGGAGAGGAAGACCACCCCATGATGCTCATTGCCAATCTAGATTCACTGGATATGGTGGATAACAAAAACAACTAAGATTTAGATGCATCAAATTCATTTCTAATGTAGCCATTAACTTACAGTAAGGTTCCACAATGGACAGCATGGTGTGGTTGCAAGAATCCAAGATGGAGCATGTCTTCCATGCAATCATCAACAAAAGTCTCACTCATCAAAGCAGTCAATATCTTGAAGGAGATTTGGTTGTTGTGGTCATACCAGTGCGAACAATACCCGTGCCAAGCATCCATCACCATCTGGCCTTCATTGGAGTAGAAGTCATAGCTCTTGCTAATCATTTCCTTCACTAACCAATAGATGCACTCAATGAAGATGTCCTTCCTTTCACATCGTTCTGGCCCCTCCAGCATTTCAGAAAGGGTGGAGACAACATGGTTGTACCATTCTGGATGTTGCTGAAGTCCCAATTCAAACATGTAGTCCATGATGCCTGTCATATCAGGAGGAAGAGGCTTGCATCCTCCTTGGCATATCAACTCCTGAAGGTTCGCCACTGCTATTTCATTCGCGCCCAAACAATGAAACTTCTGGTAGTTGGTGAGGTGTGGCTCTTGTTCTTCCACAATGATGTATTTGCAACTGAATCCATTCCTGGTGGCCCTCAACTCATTGAATGGGTATCTGTTAACACTTAGCAGCCACTTGGTGAAGGTTGGTGTGGTTGCGATCCTCATGGTCGAGTTGTTGTTGTTGTTCTTGTTGTTCGAGTACGTCGTTGTTGCTGCTCCGTGTTGTTGCTCGACAGCGATCGATCGATCTGGTGAGTTTCGAAAATAATGGGAAGGTTTGCTTCGAGCGAAGGAGTGGGAAAGAGCGGGTCAGAATATCCGTTGGATCAATTTGAATTTGACATCAACGAACCTCTCTGGTGACGTATTTGCTGACATATTATTGTTCTTCGGACGTCTTACCTATGGGGAGATGACCGGTCATTGCCGTTTCCCCATTTACCTCTAAGTAAAATGAGTATCCGCTTGCCAGGTTGGTGACAGTTGGGTGCCGGAAGTGTGCCGACAGACTCGCTGGTTCGGAATGTGGAATCTCAACGGTTAACCCTCTCCCTTTCTTTTTCTTTTCCCTCCTTTTCCCTCCCCTGCGCTGGTGCCTAACCCCCCCTAAAAGTCGGTACCAGGTACCAGGTACCGTTTGGCACCTACTACGTCAGTTTGGCCAATTCTTTGGGTCAAAACAGAGAAAATGACCTGGAAAATGGGAAAAATACCTTCGAAGATCCACCGCACAGCGTCGGAAGTCCAGAGGCCACTCGCAAGGCAACGGAAAAGTTGAATGGTACAAGTGAACTCCTGTAGTACATGTATGGAGCACTGGTACTGGTAGCTGCCACTGAAGTCCAGATAAGTTAACTACCGCTATTTCCAGCCGACCTCTACAATCCACTGTCTCTGTCAAGTTTGAATTGAGTCGATTCATTGATTACTGCATTTTACTGAGCAAGATGGTCAGCAGCACTCCAGACCCGAAAAGTACTACTACTACCGCCGTGCCGAGCACTCCTCGAGTAGCGACAAGACGTGTCACTCGGTTTTCTCCTCGGCCGTTTAGTTCTCCATTGGCAGCAGCTCGAAATGTGGGTCGGCCGCCCATTGTGCTCGAATGGGGATCTACCATGATTCGGGTTGGATATGCCGAACAATTCCAACCGCAACACATTATTCCTCTTCCGCGAGATCCTTTTCAAAAGCTGGAAGCCTATCAAAAGGAGAAAAAGACGGATACCTGGATGGTCGAAGAAGAATCACGGTGGTACGATGTCGTGTCACCCATTATCCGACAAGTCTTTGATCGCCTCATGGTGGATCCTACCACCCGACGAGTGCTGGTCGTATCCAAGCCGTATCCACTCAAAACGTGGGAAATGGCCGTGATGGAGTCACTCTGGAATTTGGGCGTTCCTGCTGTCGTATTTCTCAATTCACTGGAAGTCATCCCTGTGGCGCAAGGATGGAAGCGTGGATTGGTGGTGACATTTGGCCAGGACGAGTCACATTTCTTGGCCTACGTGGATGGACATCCATTGCCATTTACCTATCAAGGTACGAACGATCTGTACTACAATATGCACGCGAGGATGCTCTCCTTGCCTTTCATATTTTGTGTTTCAGAAACAAACTGATTACAGCATCTCACCTCTTGAACATCACTGTCCAATTGATATTCAATATTAATACACTGATCACACCCAATGCAATAAACAGTGGTGCCAACGGGCTACAAGCACGGCGTTGAGGATGACTCGAAAATCACCTGTGAGTGGGATGACAAGATGGAAAAGGCATGGCTAGATACCAACAATCCCAACAGTTTGGTCGTTGCTCTGTTGAAATGTTTGGAGGCGTGTCCCCTGGACTCGAGAAAAGATGTCATTGCAAACATGCTCGTGTGTGGAGACTCCTCAGCGGTGGTGCCCGACCTGCCACGACGTCTGGCTGTCAAGCTCAAGGCAGTCCTAGGCGAGGAGGAAGCAACGTCGGATCCGGCATCCACTACTGAGCAAGATGACTTTCCCTTGACCATGGTATTGCCTGCCATTAAGCTTTTGAAGCCATTGGCTGGGCATGTTGGACTGCTCTCGTGTGCTCCCTACCGATCCGACTTGATTAGTTGGGTTGGTGGAAGTATCCACGCAACGCTGTGGCATCGTCAAGAAGATCAATCCCCCGTTCAATGGGTCCTTTCTCCTACAGGTGCAGCTGAGTAAAACTACTACGACTATAACCATAACAATGGCGGAACTAGTCTGCGATGTTTTGTCGTCATTGCTACTGAGCAGGATATTGCATGGCCTACGAGAGTTGACCTTATAGCTCGACTTATTTACTGTAACGCTTCCAATGTTTACGCTATGCATTAATCTACTGGTACCGGTACCACATTTCATGTACGCATACCTACCTAATCATGTTCGAGTCGAGTCACCTGGATTGCCCTTCCAGGTTCCAGGATGAATGAAGCCACGGAGGCAGTTGGCTGTTGCGGAGGCGGTTGTTTATTTTTCTAGTGTTCTGTTGTCAGTGTACGTAGACGGCACTGATGTGCACAGCCGGAGAGCGCGATGGAACTGCCAGTTGCTGTTTTTAAACGCGCCCCCCACCGGGAGTTGCTACCAGGTAGCCACCATCCCCAGTAAGATGAGTTGGTTCTTTTTGCGTTGTTGCGTGTTGCCGTGCATCTACCGGTAGTGCCGTGGCATGTGTTCAATACCAATAGCATTCAGTCCACCAGCGGATTCGATTCCTTTCTCGTGACAATCTAAGATGTGGCTGGTTCACACTTGAGAGCATAGCCAAATAACAGTTGGTTCCAACTAGAGAGCTACAATAGCCAAAAACGTAATAACGGTGCCTGCACTGATCTTCCATCATCTACGCTGCCAACATAAGGGCATCTTCTTCCTTCTTGGCTTCCGCAGTAGTAGATTGAGTATTTTTGACAATGGTGACTGGAATTCGACAAAAGTTGTCCTTGATGATCACTCCTTCTCGAGGACCCGTCCATCTTGCTTGACCAGGCGGAGTTCCCTTGTCTGGTGCTACTGAAGTGACAAACTCAATGCCTTTTTCGGTAGGTGGAAGCGACCCCGTGTAGGCTTGTACTTGTGGAATATCGCTGCCACGACGAGGTCGTCCCCACACTTCCTGAGATTGGACCTGAAGCTCTGCTACTTCGTGGGACTGCGTCGGAGACAAGACGCGATGGAATGGACCGTAGAGAGTCGACATCTACATGTATCTTCTATCGTTGCATGGTGCCAAATAATGCGATGGCGTCGGCTAGCTAGCTATGATACGACTGTACTGTACGGTAGTCGGCCGTCGACCGTCGACCGTCGCCCTTCTTTTGGATCTTTTGCAAGTAGTCGAATGAATCGATTCAACGGGTTCGAAGAACAAGACGCGTCGCGATGCCGTGGACGAAAGGTCATTGCTCCAATCGCGTGGTCTCTGCGGTGTGGATTGAATTGAAGCTACAATACAGTAAAGGTATAACCCCTCTAACAAACCAGGAATACAACCGTGTACATGGAGTACCAGGCTCTACGTGTTACCCTGTCTTTCCCTTTGTTTTGGGTGTTTCTACCTTTCCCTTCTATGTTTCCCCATCTACCGATCGTCACTGGTATGAGCGAACGTCCTACCTCCTACCTCGCTCGCTGGAACATCGTCACTGGTATCAATGAACGATCTTTCGAAAACACACTGACGCACACAAGAAGAAGAAGAAGAAGATCAAATCGAACAAGAGGATCGAATCGATCGGTCAATCCAAGCAAAAGATCGCAAACTCCTCGAAAAACGCTAAGTCCACGAACGGCAAAGACAAAGTCGCTCAGATCACAAACAAGATAACAAAACACAACAAGAAACAGAACAGTAACCACAAAAAATTCTTAAAACTAAAATGACATATAAAATTTGTTTTTGCTATGCCTACAGCAGGATCGCGCTGTAGGCTGGGGACCACCAAGGCAGCTCAACGCAAGCGTGGGTGGAAGCCGGTGGGCTGATTCTTCTTGTCATGCTTGAACTTGTTGATGATCTGGGTGACCGTAAGCCACCCGTAGGTGGCATAGATACGGTCGACCGCAGCCCTCCAATCGAAGCCCTTGGCCATCAACCGAATCACACAGTCCCACACATGCTTGCGGCGGCAGAACTTGTCCTTGACGCGGCCGCGCTCACGAGCAGTAAACTCGCATGCGGCCTTGTTCCCGTTCAGGCCCTTGATCCACTCGTCCCACAACTCGTAGAGGTTGAAAGGCTTCTTCGCAAGCTGTGCTGGGAGGGTAGCGGGTGTCGGGCCCCTTGCGGCAGGAGGACGGGCCAAACGCCCAGGACTCCTCGGTGGTGGTGGGGGAAGTCCTGCGCCACCTGCGCCAGCTGCAGCAGCACCACCACCGCCAGCTCCACCACCGCCGCCAGCTCCCGCAGCACCACCGCCGCCGCCAGCTCCACCGGCCGCACCAGGAAGAGGAAGCCTTGGAGCACCGTTGCCACCACCCCTCGCGATCAACTGGAAGTGGTTGATCCTCCCAATATTCTTGTTCACGATGGCAATGTTCGTAGAGACATAGCCCCTCAAGGAGCTGATGTCCTGTGCAAGCATCTGCTGGGCCTCCTCGATCGCCTGCTGAGTCCTATGTTGGAGAGCAAGCAATTGGTTGAGCTGTTCCATGTTGACACCACCAGGAGCACCTCCGACCAAGGGCTCAGCACCAGCTTGGACCTGGGCGGTGGGAGCAAACTCAGTAATGTGCAATGCATTGGCTACCTTGTATATTGTCAGAGGGATCTTCGCCACTGGGTTGTAGTCGGCCCCAGGATCCTCATCCAAAGTGGTTCGAAGCTGGGCATACTCCGTCTGGATGCGGTTGCGAATCTCAGCCGTCATCATATGCTCCAAGCCAGGTTCCATCGCAGCCCAAAGCAAGGCTGGACCAAGCACCATGGCGATGTTGTTGCTTGGGTCGTCAGCGAAGAAGTCGCAGATCTTCGGACAAACATGCTCACCGATGAACCCATGGTCAACACCGCTGTCAGCCTTGATGCTGTACTTGACGGACCACCAACAGCGAGCGTTCAGCAACCTTGGCGTCGGTGGGAAGCTGCTCCAAGTTGATGTAAACATGGACGATGTGTCCATTTTTCTCTCCCTTCCAGCGACCACGAGTCTCATTCTCGGCCTGGGTACTCCCACACTCAGCAGCGTAGGTTGGAGGCAGCTTGCGCACACTGTGGGTACCGAGGCTTCCCTGGACTTGAGCGGCAAGCTCCACGAACTCAGGGTCCTTCCAAGCCTTCTTCAAAGCCCGTTGGTACCAGGCGTTGACTCGGTCAGGCTCGTCTCAATCGTCGTCTCATCGAGCTCTTCGTCGTTGTCCAGAGCTTCGATGGCGGCCAGGAACGCTTCTTCATCGTCGACACGGTAATGGCCAAACAGAAACTTGGGATCACCGTGTCCCCTCTCAAGACGAGTCTCGATCCAAATAGCCAAGGCAATCAGGACGCAAAAGTCAGGTCAGCGGCACCCAGCAATTTGGTTCGGGCAAGCACGCTCCTCCTGGACTTCTTGCTCCAGGATACCTTGGTTTCAAGAGCGAAGTTTGGAAACTTGGAGTGGCTGCGCAGATCCAAAGTCTCCATGTTGGTCAAATCATCAGTGCGGCCAATCAGTGAAACTGAACCTTCAACATGGTTGGGATCTTGATAGTCGTGTCAATGTTCGCTCCTCCATCGCGTTCCACAATGCGAATGGTCTTGCGGAATTCCGGATCTTCAAATCCCTCTTGACATTGGATTTCCTGCCCTGCTTCTGACCTCAGCCTTCTTCACAGCCTTGATCACTTCATTGACAACCCTGGATGAGTGGATTCCCAACATTGGGACCAACAGCCCATGATGCGTGGCGGTTCGGATGGAAGTGGCTGATGGCCTTCTTGTATTGTTCAAGAGTGGTAGATCTCTTGTGGGTGGGCGGTCATTGGGCCCTGGGTTGATCTTTCATAGGCAAGGAAGTTGAGGAACTGGGCGACATCAGTAGGGGTAATTTCTAGTAACTCCTCCTGAAGAAAAATGAAGAAGAGCGACCATGGTGTGAGCGAGCGGCAGAGTGAAATCGTGGAGCGATTTGGCGAAGGAGCGACATACCTGTGTAAAGTTCTTCCTGTTATTATAGTGACGACCATGCTTCCAACCCATAAACCTGGCAACGGCCGGCCGGTACTGCTGATCAAGTGACTTGCGCTTCCTCGCCATGGTCGACAAATCTGCGAGAGTAACAAAAAGCGAAGTTGGGAGTAACAAAATGGCGAAGTAGCGAGTAACAAAATAGCCATAGCTTTCGCCTTTTCGATACCCAAATTTGTGAGGATCGATTTGGAGAGGAGGAATGAAGAAAACTGACTGCGTCCGAGACTCCAACGGCCAACATCCTGTAGGCGGCTGTAGACTTGGTACATTGTCCTACATGGGATACATGCGTTGGTTCGGAGCGTACATCTGGGTGTTACCCCTCTCTCAGTACTAAGAGAGGCGTTCCGTACCCTTAAGTCTTTGAGTTTCGCGGAACGTTTGTGTGTGACTAGTTGTTCTTCGTACGATTGAAGTTGTATTTTGGTAAAGATACTTAGGCGAAAAGTTGTATTTTGGGGTTGCCGATACAACCCACAGTACTATTTTGAGTAGTATCGGATACCCTCAAATGCCTGGTTCTCCCCGGCAAAATACTCTCAATGTCCAATGCGTATCTCTATACCCCAATAATGATATTCTTACTTAGCACTGATTAGGGGGAATCGGTCACTGCCGGCGCTAGTAAGAGTACACCCCAAGTCCCACCAGCGCATACAACTCCCCCAAGACTGATACCCTCTATCATGTGACTACGGTTGTATATTGGTAATACAGTACTAGTAGCTAGTTATTACGACGAAATGAGTAAGTTACCGGTATGGTTCATAGGGACTTCTAGTAGTGTATTATTGAATTACAGATTGATGGAACGAACAGTAGACAACAGCTTGTATTTTTTGCTTCTCGTAGCGAGATCGGCTCGGCAACGCACTGGCTGCATATTGGGAACGGCTCGATGCGCAAGGCAACTCCCGTACCAGCAGAACTGTAGAGCCCCTCAATGTCAGCGACTTGTAGCTTCCGTAGGGGATTCGCGAAGGACTCTTTCGTGCAGCATTTTAAGATCTTGTCGTACTTTCGCTTGGGACGCGACCGTTTGTCATCTCACGAAATGAATCTAGGAGAATATCGAATTTCTTGTCCATGTTGCCTACCATCACTTTCACTTCTTTTGTGTCTTGTGAGTTTTCATCCACCTTGATGCTCAAGAGCTCAATCGCTTTGGTGTTGCCTTCCACTTGCGCTTTCAACTCCTCAATGCTGGTGGTGTTGCCTTCCACTTTCGCTTTCAACTCCTCAATGCTGTTGGTGTTGCCTTCCACTTTCGCTTTCAACTCCTCAATGCTGTTGGTGTTGCCTTCCACTTTCGCTTTCAAGAGCTCAATCGCTTTGGTGTTGCCGTCCACCTTCGAGGTCAAGTTATCCGTAGCTTGAGCATTCGCAACAAACGAGGAAAAGAGCAACAAGCTCGGGCGAAACGACTTTGAGACGACGCCACCAGCTAGATAGACATTGTATGCAATGCCCGAAGCAATGACTACGGCGTTTGCGCTATTTTGACAAACAAGCCTTCCAATCCGATTGAAGACTTCTGAAACCACAGCCCTCTCGCTTTCCTTGGTTTCTTTGCTTGCATTGTCTTTCTCGACTTCATCGGCGTTTTCCGATTTCTTGACAACGGCCTCGACATCAACCGAATCTTCTGAATCGGTGGAATCGACCGAAGACGAGAGTGAAAGACATGGAATGTCGGGCTGAGATTCGTTTGATGCTTGAACGAAGATGGTCATTGTGGCTGTTTTGTTGTTGCTGTGCTGCTTGTTTGGAATGCAAAGAGAGCTTTGGAGATGACGAGACTGAATTTATGAACGTCTTCGTGATTTTGTGAGCGCTTCGTGCGAGACAGGCGTGGAGCGTGGCAATGACTAGCCAGCGAAACTATCTGAACGCCTCGGTTGGACTCTGTCCCCTTTTCCCTCCGGCCCCCTTGCACCCACCCACTTGTCCAATCTCGTCGATCGGTGTCCTGGTCCATCGGTCTCACCACATCAACCATTACAAGCTGTCCAACACTCTCCTCCCTCGATATCACTCAATTTCTCGTCCTGGTCCCCTTGCGTAAAATCAAGACATGCAGATCTAGTCTATTGTCAATTGATAGTTTGAGATTGCAGCATGCTGTGAGCACAACACCACAAGATACGAGCAAGAGAAGAATATCAAGTGGGCACATGACTTTCGATGCCATCGTGGATAGATTAGCGGATTGAAATGTTCTCAAATAGTTTTTAACTAATATGACAAGAACGAAGGGGCGCAGAGCAGAGCAGGAGCTTTTGTGGGTCGTTTGTGAGCCGACGTTGTTTGACCCAGCAGAGCTGCGAGAGTCGAGTCCAGTCGAGCCGAGTCAATTCACTCTCAAAGTTTGGACCCTCTAACCCTACGAGACGGACCTCAAGTTCCAGCTCACACTTACTTCAGACGCTTCCACTCGACAACCTCGGCTCATCTCTCATCATCTCAACCATTACCGTACATTCTTCGTCTTGACTGCTGCAATTGAAGGGTACCGGTACCACCAACAACAGCTGTACCAATAGTTTCCAATCCACAAGAAGTGAAACAGAAGAAGCAATGAGTGAAGGAGAAAGCAGTGGTGATGAGCTGTCTGGCTTGTCAGGATTTTTCTTTTATGTGTTTATTGTCCATCCCTGTACAGCATGGATTCTGAGGCCAGGACGATTTGAACGCAAGAAGAGCATTATGTATGCCATTGCCTTTCTGGCAGCTATTGCAGCAATCAAAACAGGTATGTAGAAGATTCAAGTCCATTGGACACATGGTTGAATCGAATCGGGGACGTTGGCTGCATGGTGCCAAATATGTTGCCATAAATTCTCAACTGGGATTTGCTTGTTCCACCTTCTTTTTGATACCATATTGATATTGTTCAGGCCTAGAAATGCAACAAAAAGGACCCAACTATTACAACCTGTTGGGTGTGACACGAGAATCCAATCCTCTGGAAATAAAGAGGGCCTACAAACGCCTCAGTCTTCAACTCCACCCGGATAAGAATCCCAGCCCAGATGCCACTGATAAGTTTGATGCTGTCAAGCAGGCCTATGATGCCCTCATGGATATGGAATTCCGTGAAGTATACAACAAATTTGGAAAAGAGGGAATCAAGGCCAACAAACGCTATGATGAAACCCAATTCCTTCTTGAATTGGCCATTTTCTACATTTCCTGGGGTATGATGGTTTTCATGTTGACGCTGGGAAAGCGCAGTGGCGAAGCTCGAAATTGGTGTTTTACTGGAATGGTTGTCATGTTGGTTGTTGAAGTCACCATGATGACATCTTCCACCAATCCAATCCCTACTTGGTTATTCCCAGCACTCACCGAACATGAAG